TTTCATGTAACTAGCATAACCTATATATATTAACTTAAAGTGGCGGCAGCAGAATATTGACATTCTGTTCTTCTCCTCAAAATCTGTGTTCTATTGCTCTTCCATCACTCTTCCTTCTACATCTTCTTCACTTTCTCTTCTCATCGAACCTGGAATCTCTTAGTGATCAAGACTGAATAGCAGTCTTGAAAACCTACACTATTGAATAAATTTTCTTAGTTATTGATCTTCAAAAAATATATTTAGTCATATAAATAGGCAAGTTATCATGGGAACTCCTTTATTCTTCATGGACAATTGATGATCAAATATAATTAATCTTGTTTTCTCTATGTATGTTCCCATTTTGACATCCACAAATCCAAATCTTAACCTGCCCTTTTACTAACTTTTTTTGTAGTCCTGTGTTCAGGTTGGTTCAGGTAAATCATCTTTGTTAAATTCAATTCTGGGAGAAATGCGACTCATCCATGGATCAATACACTGCTGGGGATCAATAGCATATGTATCACAGGTTCATCAATTCCTTCCAGATTTAGTTTTCCTGGTCTTGAATACAAACACTCTTATACCATATCTTGCGACTTGCTGTTTTAGGTTCCTTGGATTCTGTCAGGGACCATACGTGATAACATCTTGTTTGGAAAAAACTATGATGCAAAAAGGTATGTAACCACAATGTAAAATATTTTGTTAATCGAAGAAGTGTTTTTGATCAGTTTAATTGAATAATTTTTGTTTCATGTAGTTTAACTTTCAATCTCCATTCCATAGTTCTTATTTTCTTCTCAAATGTTCAATAATAGAAAACTTTTAACTAGTAATGTGTGAATTCTTCTTGAAGAAAAGTCCCAACAGTAGGCTATCTTTGTTAAATGTGGCCATTTTTCTGGTTTGAGTAGATACAAAGAAGTATTGAGGGCATGTGCATTGGATATTGATATTTCACTAATGGTTGGGGGTGACCTAACTTATATTGGAGAGAAAGGAATCAACTTATCAGGTGGACAGAAAGCACGGCTTGCACTAGCAAGGTAGGAGCTTTTCATTTTGCTGAAAATGTGGAAGAATTCCAAAGTTTCCCACCTTGAAGAAGCTATTTTCCCATTTTCTATATAGGAGCTTATTGTAAAGTTGAGAATTGGCAGGGCTGTCTATCATGGATCCGATATATTCATGCTTGATGATGTGCTTAGTGCAGTTGATGCCCAAGTATCTCGTTGGATTTTATATAATGGTATCTTGGGTCCTTTGATGAAACAACAAACAAGAATTCTCTGTACTCACAATGTTCAGGTTGTTCCTTCTCTCATCATTTTCAACTATGTTTGGCATATATTCCTTAAGTAATCTATACACATGAAATAGGTTCTTACTTCAACATAGACTGCTTGGGAAAGATTTCTTAGTAGATGGTAAATGGCCCTCGAGATTTTAAATAAATTGAACTCGATTAACTTCAATCATTGTTTCAACTGGTCCCTATATTTTCTTAATGCCTAAGAATCAATTTGGATCTTGATGCTCCCATGCTGATCCAGGTGATCTGGATCAAGCATGTCTATGATCAATAAAATGTCTAGATAGCTTGTTCATGAAAAAAAGGGTGTGGCTCAAGGAATCTAAAGTTGTTCTTAACTTTATACAGGCAATATCCTCTGCAGATATGATTGTAGTAATGGACAAAGGACTTGTGAAATGGGTGGGACGTTTGGCTGAGTTGTCATCTTCCCCATGTTCAATGTTATTAAAAGAATCAACATTCTTTTCATCTGAACTTCCAAAAAAGGAAAGTAGCACCAGTACTTCGTGTCAAGCTGAACAAAATGGCCTACTAAGCAGAGATGATATAGATATTCCTGAGGAAGCCCAAGAAGCCATTGAAAGAGAACTGAGGAAAGAAGGGAAAGTTGAATTTACTGTTTATAAGTGAGTATTAACTTTTTCCATCTTGTATTTACTATATATATATATATATATATGTCTTCTGAGCTCTGCAGTAGTTACACAATTTATTGGTTAGGAACACCGTTTAATGGATCCAACTGGGAAAAAAAAAATCAACCTAACTAGATGGACGTGAACATTCAATCTGTTAAACTTTTTTAGTCAGCCAGAAAACAGTAAGGCCAATGTTCCTGGAGAATGCCTATGTAATGCTGGAAGTATTTTGACACAGCTTGAATCCATACCATATCCAATGGAAAAGAATGTTAGCCTCCTTCCATCTTGTCCCTACAACTTGAGTGTTCCTCATCTTGCAGATAATATTGTTAGCAAGTGCCAAAGCCTAGGTTAAAAAAAGTAAAGAAAAAAATAAAAAGAAAGAAACAACTAAATGAACAAACATACACAGAAAAGCAGTCAATTACTGAATAATGAACTTAGCCATCACTTTGAAGATAACTACATCTTAAGTCAGGTGTAGTTTATAAGTATTTCTAAATTTTTGTTAGGTTCTGATATTATAAAAGTGGAAAGGTTTTTTCAAGTATTTTGTGTATGTCCTTCAGGAATTATTTTTGGCACTGGGGATTTTTAACAATTCATTGATTCTCCTCTCTTGCAGAAATTATGCTGCATCTTCAGGCTGGCCAATTGCAATCATAATATGTCTATCAGCAGTTTTAATGCAAGCATCTCGTAATGGGAATGATTTATGGCTGTCTCACTGGGTTGATTCCACTACAGCAAGCCATAAGACAAATTATTCCACATCCTTTTATCTGGTAATCAATGTGAAGAGACTTGACATATCCTATTAGGATAGCCCTGGTTGTATATTGTACATATGTTTTATTTAGCTTTATTTTCTTTCAGCCCTGTAAGGCACTTTTGTAATTGTACACAATATATGTTCTTTAACATATTAGAGGCCTTTTGGGGGTGGGCTGATTGATTCATGCAACACCCCTGAAACTGTTCTCTCGTATGTTCAAACTAGGGATTGACATGGTATCAAAGCAGGTCTTACAGACCTGTCTTTGATTGAATCTATTGTTAGGCGTCTAAAGGAAGATCTAGGGTTGCTAGATTGACTATTTTGATCTGGTTAGAAGAAGTTCTGGAGGCTTTTCTGTTCAGCACAACTCTAGATTTTATGCTGCCCAGGTCAGTTCTAAGTGTTTTTACAGTTTGTTCTTGGATTAGATTAGGTTTGAATGGTCTCCTTCCCTCTTCAGTCAACAATCCAGTAAACGTACCTATTTTGGATTGTCATTTTCTAACATCTTTGTTCAGTTAAGTTTTTCGACTGAGTTTTGATCTCTTGGGTGTTATTTGGCTATTCATGTCACTGTTATTAAGTTTGGATCTGGTTTGGTTGGGTGGATGCCTTGTTTTGTTCTCTTTTTGGCCTTGAGTTCCTAGTCCTTTATTCTTTTGGACCATGGTTATTCACCAAGATGGCTCACAAGGTTGATATTATGCCCATGAAATTTGATGAGACTAATTAAAGTATGTGGAAATTCTACTTTGATTTGTTTGTCAAGGTAAAAGGCTTGGAGGGTTATCTGAATGGTAAGGTTACTAAACCTGATGAATCTGAAGCCAAAACTTTCTAGCAATGGAAGCTTGATAATGGAAAATTGGTGTCTTGGATTATGAGTTCTACGGAGACCCATATTGTTATACCTATGCATAGAATGCAAACAGCCTATCAGATGTATGCTTATCTAAAGAAAGCTTACTATTAGTCTAATATGTCTAGACAAAATCAAGTCGAATATGAAATCTTTGCGTATTGTCAGGGGACAGAGATACAAGAATATTATGCTGGATTCCTGGATTTTTGGGCAGAATATGAAGTAGTCCATATTGACCCTTCGGATTTTTCTGAGCGTATTCAGTATCTTCAGAAACACTTTGAGAAATGAAAAGTGAATCAGTTTCTCATGAGGATTAGACCTGAGTATGAGATAATTAGGTATAATATTTTGAGTAGGGGAACTTTTCCCAACCTGGATTCAGTGATGGGGGAACTTCTAAGGGAAGAGACTAGACTCTTAATTATTTCTGGACTAGATGGGAAAGTAGTAGACTCTAGGACTGAACTGCTTTTATTGCACATGGAAATAAGAAACAAGCTGCAAAGGACTTCTCCAAAAGTTAATGCTACGAGTGTAAAAGATTCGACCATATTGTGTCCTATTGCAAGAAGCAGAATATTTGTATATATTGCAAACAGCATGGGCACATTATTCTAGACTGTCCTATCTTACCACCTAAAAATGCTCGAAAGAAAAATCAGCCATGTGCATATCAAGTAACAGAGTGCCAGTCCTCTAATATCACTTCTACCAAGGGTGATTCTTCTATTAAAGGTAATTCCTTTATATCCATGGATGAAGACAAATTTCAGCAATTGGTATCATTTGCTATATCTTCAGCTTTTTCTGTTATTGACTTGTCTGGTGAGTTCTTTGGTTATTGTTTCTCTCCTTCACATGTTTGAATTATTGATTCTAGAGCCACTAATCATACAACAAGGGCCTATCCAAATCAACTAGGCAATCTTATCGAGACCTATTATAAACACATTGTTACTGCCAAAGGTGAAAAGCTGAACGTCGTTGGTAGTAATGATCTGTCCCTTAAACTTTCACCCACTATATCGTTCCTCCTTTCGATGACCTTTTTTGTACCTAACCTTACTACTAATCTAGTTTCTATTGGTTAACTTGATGAGGATAATATTTTTTTTCCCATGATGCTTGTTTGATCCAAGACCGATACACTAAGAAGGTGAAAGGGAAGGGGCGTAGGCTAGGGTGTTTTTTTGCATTGGAGTTTAAGAAGTCTCAACCAGCAGCTTCCTCAGCATATCTTAGTTCATCCATATCTAGTTCTTTTTTGAGTCAAAGAAACAATATTTTGAGACATGGAATAAAAGTTTGAGTCATCCATATTTTGAAAAACTGAAGTTTTTGTTTGATTCTAGACTAATTGAGAACAAGATTCCTTCCATTCATGCTTTTAATGTGTCTTGCACTTCTTGTTGTTTGAGTAAAAGTCATATTGTACCTTTTTATCACACATCTAAGAGTGCCACTTCACCCTTTGAGATTATATATAGTGATGTTTAGACTGCTTCTATTCCTTCTCATTTGGGATACAGATATTTTGTATTGTTTATTGATGATAGTATCAGGTGCACATGGATCTACATTTTATGACATAAATCAAAAATTTTTCCTACTCAAGTTGTTTTTCACCATGGTTCGAGTTGAGCTCAAGTCACATGTGAGTATTCTCCGCTCAAGTCACATGTAGTCACAACAAAGTTGCTAGACATTCCTCAACAAAATGGTGTAGCTGAGCGCAAGAATGGACATGTCCTCAGTGTTGTGAGAACATTGTTATTGGAATCTCATGCACCACCATCATTTTGGGTAGAGGCAACTAGTACAACTGTGTATTTGATTAACTATCTTCCCTCTTCCGTCCTTACGAATACTTCTTATCAGAAGCTTTTTGGTCGTCGTCTTAACCTATTCGGTGCTTATGTTTTGTGTATCTTCCTTCTTGTGAATATTCTAAATTATTTGCTCAATCTACTATGTGTGCATTTGTGGGGTATAGTCTAGACCACATGGGTTTTCTATGTTATGATCCATCTATTCTTCATATTCATATTTCCCGAAATGTTGTGTTTCTTAAGCATATTTCTTTCTTTATTGGAGTTGCTAGATTGTTTGTACATTCTATCTTTGCTTTGTAGTATTTTGATTTTGAGGATGTTTCTCCAACTTCTACTGGGAAGGATTTTCTCATCATCTCTTACAAATGTGTATGTGCTCTAGACCCTATGCCTACAACCCCCTTCCTCTCGGTCTAGAACTCTCCATCCCTTTGTTCCTCTTGTAAGTGATATTTCTTCCTCAGACACCTCTATCTCAAATGCTGGTTCTTCTATTCCTTTTTCAGCGTTCTACTCGTATTTATTGTCCACCTGACCACTATGGTTTTCCTTTAAACCATAGCTCTTTCTCTATTGTTTTATCTTCCACAGATATTCCTTGTTCATACTAGCAAGCTATTAGTGGTTCACACTAGAAAGAGGCCATGGATGCCAAGATTCATGCTTTACATGAGAATGACACTTGGGATTTTGTGCTTGCCACTCCGAATGCTTCCATTGTTAGGAGTCGTTGGGCTTATATAATCAAATTGAAGTCAAATGACTCTCTTCACCAATAAAAGGCTTGGTTGGTTTCTCAAGGATATAATCAAGAGTATGGATTGCTTATGAAGAGACATTGGCTCCAGTTGCTAAGATTACCATAGTTTGTGTCCTCTTAGCCTTGTTTGCTATCCAGTCTTGGTCCATTTACTAGTTGGACGTGAAGAATGTCTTCCTTCATGGTCAATTGAAAGAGGTCGTCTCTATGAAGTCTCCTCCTAGATATTGTAATGATCCTTCTCTAGTTTGTCAACTAAAGAAGTCCATATATGGATTGAAGCAAGCTCCTCAAGCGTGGTTTGAAAGGTTTCTTATGTTGTTGTTGCAGCTAGTTGCAGTTCTATGGTTTGTAGAAGAAGAAAAGAGAGAAGGAGAAGAAGAGGAAGGAGGTATCAAAGAGAGGTGTATGTTACTATTGTTAGAATGTTAGAATGAAGTCTCTTTGTATGAGTGTTCGGCTGATAAGAGTTCTTATTAGCCCATACTTAAGTTTAAGTTATCCTGTAACTGGGCYTGTGTTAATGGGCCTAAGCCTGTTTAATGTTTTAAGTTAACTGGGTGTCCCATCACTAATCAGGGGCATTCCAGTAATTACTTGTA